TGAGTCAAATAAGGCCATACATGACTATATTAGCACCTAGGAGAGAGAAGAAGCAGTCTCTTTCCCCCTGGGTGACAAGGTTACGCTGTGTTTAGTATCCCTGCATTTGAAATATAATTCTGCTGGAGAGAAGACAGCTCTCGTTTAACATCAATCAGGAAACATCTAACAAACTTGAGAGCCAAGGCAACCTTTTTGTTTGGACAATTGGACTCTGTTTAAACCAGGACTTTGCAAGTATTCTGCCTTCTGATCTCCTTTTTTTTATTGTTATCTTTAGATCTTTGTAACATCTTTTTCTGTAAATATTTTAATTGCACCATTTTGATCTGTTTAGTAATAAATCCTGTTTTGAAAAGTGTTGAAACTGTCTCTAAAGCTTTTAATGCAAACTAAAGAATCCTTGTCTCTCAAAGAGGGCTACTGTATGTAATAATCCTCTGAATATACCTGTCTGTGGTTACAGTGTGTATTACAGACGCTTATGCTAATATCATAGTATTACTGCTAGGATTTGTGAGTGTCCTCTGTAAAAAGGTGCTGGTGGCAGTGTGAAGGGTTAATTGCATAATTAACCTGACCCAGTAACAATCGCTCTCAGGTTGCGGGCACATAAATTGTAGTCCCGTGAGATGGAAAATCTTTGTGCAGGGAGCAGCTGAGAATGGCATTGTTACACAAGTGACAGCGCAGTGAGAGATCGGGGCGGGGGTCGGACTTTGTCACAGTTGCCATTTTCCTTTCCTCCTATGACTTTTCCCCATGCTGGAGGGGTTCCCTGGACTCTGCAAGGCTGGCACACTCCTCCATGTGGCCTATCTGGACAGGTAGCAATCCACAGCGCTCCTTTCATAGTTTGGTTGGTAGTGGCGAGTCCTCCTGAGGTTTCTAAACCCGAGTTGTGCTCTGCCCTCATGGGCCCTATGCTTTCTGCAGGCCCCGAAGATTCGATCCCTAATTCCTCTGAGCCCTCTGCCTCTGTTGATGAGCATTAAAAGGTGCTGGTGACATCACTAATTACCTCTATGCAAGAGACACTTAAAATTGAGGACCCCTCTTGGGCTGCCAATGAGGTAGCTGTCCTCTTTGGTAAGCACAAACCAGTTAGGGTCTGCTAAGCTTTTTCCTTACACTGTATATGTTGTTAAATTTACTTACAAAGATTGGGAACATCCGACGCAGCCTTTTATTGTTTCAAAGCGCTTTGTGGTAAGTTACCCCTTTGAAGAAGGCCTTTCTGAAGAAATGGACCTGTCCTCCTGTGGTGTATCCTTCCATCTCTAGTTTGAACCTCCTCCTCCTTTAAGAATACTGCGGTGTCTTAAGGCAGAATCGTTCACCTGCATTATGTTTACCATTGCTGGGTCGGTGTTGCGGCCTGTCTTGGCCATGGCCCTGGTGTCCCAGACTCTTACTAGATTTAGCCCCACTACTTTCCAAGCTCTCCATCTTGGAAGTGGTGCTGCAGTGGGTACTGTAGCTTAACCGCTGGTCTGCTAACTAGACGTCTAAAAAGGCCCTGGCAAACCTACCCTTTTAGGGTGAATATCTTTTCAGTGCTAACTTGCATGATGTCATCAAGAACCTTACATGTAGTAACAGTACTTTCCTCCCACAGACCTAAAAAGGGAAGAAACTGCATTGTAAGTCCAGGCCCTCCTTCACTACTCATAAGAAGAGGCTTTTTTTCGTTCTCCTGGATTTTCAGACAAGGGCTCGAAGCCCTTCAAGGCCCACATTAGTAGTGAAAAGCAATCCTGGCCCCACAAGACCACCAAACCTGCGAACAAGTCTTCCTCAGCATGAAGGCTTGCCCCCACCCAAATCCAGGGTGGAGAGTTGTCTTTGTTGGTTCATGGGCCCATGAACATCCCTCATTCCTGACTAGTGGGTCCAACAAAAAAGAATTATATTCTTGTCTACCAGAGAAATTCTTTCCCTTCAAACTTCAGCTCCCTCCATCACACCTACTGGCTCTGTGAAGTACAGACCTTGCTTCTTCAGGGAGTGATTGTCCTGGTACTGGAATAGAAGCATTTCCAGGGGTTTTACTCCAACCTGTTCACGGCCCCTAAGAAGGACAGAATTCGCACCCTCCAGGCCCTGAATTGCTTTGTGTGGTGCAGAAGTTCAAGAAGGAGTCTATCCATTCGGTAGTGGCCACCTTTCATCAAGGGGATTTTCTGGCATCCATAAACATCAAGGATGCATACCTGCACATTCCCATTTGTATGGGCATCAGTGTTTCTTATGCTTTACATTTGGAGATGCACATTATCAATTTGTACCTCTTCCATTGGGTCTGAGGTCCATTCCTGGCATTACAGAGACAATGGATTGCCATGATTGATTACCTTGGTGACCTGCTCTTGCAAGTGGAGATCTGTTCTGTATGGATGGGAAAAGTCCCTGCAGGACTTCAGATTGGCCTTGCAGGCCAAAGTGTTCCTCCTTACAGACAAGCTCTGTAAACTTTGGACTGCATTCCAGCTGCGCCTGTCCTGCAGATCTTTCCTGTGGTGATACTTTCATGCACTGGGTCTTATGGTATCTATCTTTGAGGCGGTCTCGTATGTGCAGTTCCATACAAGTGTTCTGCAGATGAAAAGCCTGACTACATGGGACAAATCTTCCATCTTCCCTGGAAAACCAGATTCATCTGGGTCAGTTGATGAGGTCCTCTGTCCTTTGGTGGCTTTGGCTTCCTTTCTTGCAGTCTGGGAAGTACTTTCCCCTCTCCACTGGATGGTAGTCACGATGGGTGTCAGCCTGTCCATCTGGAAAGGCGCCATGGTTCTGAGATCAGCACAGGTCGCTGGTTGTCAGTAGAGGCTTGACTGCCCATCAATGTCCTGGAGCCACGAGCAATCAGATTGTGTCTGGAGCACTGGATGGACCTTCTCTGGGGACACCCAGCCAGGATCCACGCGGACAATGCCACTGGCTTATGTAAACTACCACGGCATTAAGAGATTGCAGAAGCGGTGCTGGAGGCCTCACGTATTCTTCAGTGGGCATAATTGTACATTCCAGCTCTCTCTGCCATGCACATTCCAGGCATCGGGAATTAGTAGGTATATTAACTCATTCGTCAGATGCTGGACCAGGGCAAGTGGTTCCTTCACTGGTACATTTTTCATCCGATCTATCTATGCTGGAGAACCCCGATGTGGGTCTCCTGACATCTCATCTCAACAGGAGGGTACCAAGGTTTGTAGCAAGAGCAGGGAATCCCTTTGCGGATGCAGTAGATGAACAGGTGGTACTGATCAGTATCGCCTCATTTATGAACGTCCACCTCTCAAGCCTCTCCCTCGCCTGCTGCGCAGGATAGAAGCCGAAGGGATTTTGGTCATTCTGGTATCTCCAGACTGGCCTAGTCATCCATTGTATGCCAACGTGGTACAGCTGGTTAAGAGCACTACTTGGCAGATGCCACTTCTAGAGGACTTCCTATCTTGGGGTTCTTTCTGCCACCCTGTTTTACCATCTCTGGCTTTGATGGCCTGGCTATCGAAAGCCAGCTTTTGAGAAATTGGGGGTTGTCAGGTTCAGTTGATTTCTACAATGTTGTAGGCACACAAATCTACCTCTCAGAAGATTCAACATTGCACCTGGAAGGCTTATATCACCTGCTGCAAGAATTTGGGTGCCCATTCACTTCTTCTGTGAATACAGAGACCAGAAAAAGCAACTTGCCATAGAGACCAAATCATAAATACACACTGGTGTTAATTTACTAAAACTGTAGAGGGCAAAAATCTCAGCTGTGCATGGTAGTCAATCAGCTTCCAACCTCAGCGTGTTCAATTGAGCTTTGACAAAACCTGGAAGCTGATTGGTTTCTATGCAGAGCTGCACCAAATTTTGCATTTTCTAACATTAGTAAACCAACCCCACTGTGTTGGTTTTACGTCTTTTGTCATCTGATAATTTTGTGTTTAATTTAGCACAACACATTGGGGAGATTTACTACAACTGGAGCACACAGAATCTGGTGCAGCTGTGCTCAGTAACCAATCCACTTCTAATTTCAGCTTGTTAAATTAAGCTTTAGAAATAAAACATAGCAGCTGATTGGTTGCCATGCACAGCTGCACCAGATTCTGCGTGCACCAGTTTCAGTAAATCTCCCTCACTGTGTATTTAACATTTTATAGTATTTTCTGCACCTGGCTGCCCTTTAACTAGATTGCTATAGCTAATAATTGGAATTTTATAAGAATGGCCAATGCATTTCCTTTGTAACACCTATTATCCAAAATGTAAGTGCACTGCAATTTTTCCTACACCATAACATAAGAAGGTTGCACAGTACAGAATCATGTGATAGGAGGTTCAAGTTCCACTCAGACAGTGTCAGTCCAATCCAAACCAATTAAACCTTGTAGACAAGACTGAAAGGGAGAGCTAATCTGGCTGCATAGTGAGTTTGTCTGTTTTTAGCTTGAACTGATATAAGGATCAAATAAAAGGGAAAAAAATATCGTCACACTTCACTGAATGGATTCCCAGCCTGAAACCAAGACTAATTCAATTTGATATAGTCTGAAAATTTGGAACTTACTGAAATTGGAACCCAGGACTCAAATTGCTGACAGATCATCAAATGGTTTATACATTTGTATTTGCTTTTCCCCCACTTTATTCAAAGTGTTGCAAGAGCTGCAACAAGTAATCTTTACCAATTAAATGAGAAATAAAAAGTTAACCTTAAAGTGGACCTATCACAAAGCTGGGCAATCCCAACTGTGCATATTATGACAAAATAGATAGTCACTTGGAGATACTTCCTTTTCCTTCCCATCCAAGAGATGCAACAGAACATTAGATGTTTTCATGCTTGGTATAGCGCTCCTCACATCCCAAACATTTGCATCCTGTTTTATTCATATATAACTGCTTGCCTGCCACCCTATAGCAGAACTACTGCTACAGGGTGGCAAGGCTGCGCAAAATCACATGTATATATACGTGATTTGCATCCCCAGGTAGGGCACGAGCTGGGGATGTCAATCACCGGGTCCTGGCCGGAGTTTCCCTGCCAGCACCTAGAGATTGCCGTGTGAAGCTTACGGGAGAAACCTGTGTGTAAACAACACAGGTCTCTCTTGCCAGCAAGGACATGCTGCTTTGTATTCCTCTGCACAGCAGAGAAATACAAAGCAGCATGTCTTTGTAGTAAACAGCACACATAGTAAAAACACACACAGCACACAGTTAACCCTTTGATCGCCCAAAAGTTAACCCCTTCCTGCCCAGTTTCATAAGTACAGTGTTAGTGCTTTTTTTATTAGCACTGATTACTGTATTGGTGTCAATGGGGATGTCAGTGGCAGTTAGTCAGTCCCCCCCAGTGTCAGAATGCCCACCTCAGTCCTGCTATAAGTTGCTGATCGGTGCGATTACTAGTATTAAGAAAAAAAAAAATTCCAGTGTATATATACTGCCATTTGTAGATGCTATAACTTTCAGGTAAATTAATTTACATGTATTGGGATTTTTTTTTAGCAAAGACATGTAGCAGAATACATGTTGGCCTAAATGTATGAATATATTTGATTTTTTTAAAAATTAGTTATTGAATATGTTTTACAGCAAAAATTAAAAAATTTTGATTTTTAAAAAAATTGTCTTTTTTTTTTTATTTATAGCACAAAAAATAAAAACCGCAGAGATGAAATACACAAAGAAAGCTCTATTTGTCGAGAAAAAAAGGACTTAAATGTAACTTATATACAGCGTTGCATGGCCGCACAATTGTCAGTAAAAGTAATTCAGCACTGTATTGCAAAAAATGGCCTGGTCAGGAAGGGGGGTAAATCCTCAAGAGGACAAGTGGTTAAATGGCCTACACAGAAATATCATAGTATAGTTTTGCATGGTACAGAAATAAATAGTACACTGAATTCTGCCCCCACTCTGCAATCAGAGTCCTTGAATTTTGTCTTCTGAGCACTGGAACACTGCCTGATACGACTAAGTGCTTGTAGCGTTTGGTCGTAGGTGCTGTATATGTGTCTGTATTGATGGACTGTTTCCAATAAATTCTTCTGCATGTTTGAGTGTGGTCATCCACTTCCTCCTTCAAATCCACTGATATACCAATATCCAATGGATCATTTAAGCAGCCAGTAGAGAAATTATTGGCCAGCATACATGTTTACAGAGTCTACTGACCTGGCTTGAACGGCTATAAAATTGTCAATGACAGTTTTAAATAAACCATTTTTTCTGCATTTTGAAATTCACAGTACCTCCCTATCCTAACAAAGAAATAGTCTGCAGGCAGTGCTGGCCTTCAGTACGACACATGCCATGCTAATAGCTGGCAAGTCTTCCACAGGCAGTTTGGAGACAGCCAATATTTATATCTATGTTCTTAGTTGTCAAATGAGCAACTGAAAAAGGCAAGACCTTCATACCATCTCTAATTCTGTATTCTATGCAGTATCACTCTTGTTTTCAAGTTTCAACTTCCAAAGTAATCCTGTTCCTATTTAGCCAACAGATTTTACTGAAATAGCGCGGGCAGATTTGTCCCTATATTGTCATAATTACCCATTCATTGTCTGGATATTTTCACATTTGGTCATTGATTGTCCACATATTGTCACAGTTGCCCATATAATGATGATTATTGTTTTTTGCCTGTGTATCACAAGGATTGTCTGTTGTATATATTTGCCCATTTGTATCCTATGTGGTCAGATCTGTCATACTTTGCCTACATATTGTCAAGTCACTGTTTAGAGGACCATATTGCTTTAACCGCTTGATAAATGAATGCTAGCTGTTATTATTTAACCAGGCGCTCGCTTATTACCAGTTTCTTATATTGCTTTAACCACTTGACATTCGTAAGATTTACCCCCCTTCATGACCAGCTCATTTTTTGCTAGAGGGCATTGCGTTACTTTAACTGAAAATTGCGCAGTCCTGCAACGCTATACATAAATGAAACTTGTAATTTTTTTCCCCACAAATATTTTGGTGGTATTTGATTGCCACTGGGTCTTTTATTTTTTTGCACTATAAAACAAAAAAAAGATATATCACCTGGAAGAGGTTGAGATTGTGACCCTGTTCTACAGGGCCGAGTTAGCAACTCTTCCTAAAATATCTGTTTGATATTTGTACATTTATTTTGATTTTGTGCCATAGGTGCTTTCCCCAAATTGTTATATAAACAAAAAAAGACTGATCATTTTAAAAAATAAAATATTACTTTCTACTATAAAACCTATCCAAAAAAAATAAAAAAAATAAAATTTCTTCATAAATTTAGGCCAATATGTATTCTGCATATTTTTATTTATTTTTTAATAAACAAAAGTCCCAAGAAGCATATATTGATTGGTTTGCAGCAGGCAATCTGACATTAACTGATACTTTGTGGGAATCAGTGACACTAAATACAGTGATCAGTGCTAAAAATATGCACTGTCACCATACTAATGACACTGGCTGGGAAGGGGTTAAACATCTAGGTCAATTAAAGGGTTAAATGTGTGCCTAACCAGTGTTTTTGTGTGTACATTGTGATGCTTTCACTAAAGGATGTGCTGCATTGTATTCCCCGCTTTGCAGGGAAATAAAATCCAGCACATCCCTGCTGACAGGACAGAGCTCTGCATTGTTTACATATGCAGAGCTCTGTCCAGTGTGTCTTCTTGCCGATCAAACTGATTTTAAGTGCATAGGATCAACGCATTTTGCATGACTTGCTCTTCAAGATCCACGCTTGTAGCCAAGTAGTTGATACAACTACAGTAAACAAATTACAGAATGAACATCATGTACAACAAGATATAAAAAATATCTTTATCAAACCACTCACTTTATATAACTATCATATCTTGTACATGATGTCCGTTCTGTTGTTTACTGTAGTTGTACCATCTACTCGAACGTGGATCCTGAAAAAGCAAATCTTGCAAAAAAGTCGATCCTATAAGTTAACGTCAAACTACTTTGAAATCGTGCAACTTACAGTGAAGTCACACGATTTCAAAGTCAGACATCATTCCGATTTCAGGAGTGATTTGCAAGACATCTGATGCAGATGTCTATGCAAATCGCACCAAAAGTAGTGCATGTACTACTTTAGAAATCGGTGCGGCTCTGACCAAGTCGGAACCGCAGTGATATGACCGCTCTAAGTGCAGACAATAGGCTGCGATTTGGCATGTGATTTGCAAGTCTCATGGCATGCACATCACATGTCAGTTCGCATCCAGTGTGATCGGGGTCTTAAGATCAGTTTGATTAACCAGAACTGGAATAATATTTTCAGATGTGGCACATGTTTCTGTTGGATGTATATTTGTTCTTACACACAATATTTTAATGAATTTTCTGTAATACAAAAATTGTTGGATTTTATCACATATTTGTATGTTTAAAACAATATAAATGAATAAGTGCCGCGCAGTACAAATATTCCTAGTGATAAAACATAAAATTATAATGCGTGCGCTACTATGAAGACATCACATAAATTCCAACTATACCAGAAAAAAAAATTAAATGAACATGCATATATCATATGCGTTTATATCAAACAATATATCTTGAAAAATCAACACCATTTACTGTGACAAATCAAAAGAGTCCCTAGTGTTCATATATTTCCATAGACATCCTTCTTGTCCAATAATCCAACTGTGTCATCTTTCACTTTCTCATTCTGCGTTAATAATTCTCTTTTAATATAGTCACCATGTGCAGATAACCCTTCACCGGCAATAGTATGCTCTCACCTTTTTAATAGACCTCACAAGTAGGTCTAATGCGCTTGCCCCTTATAGTGGGGTTCCCTATACCACAGATGTAATGGTTTCCTCCATTCCACTGGTGCTTCTCAATCCAGCTCCATCATTTGCAATCTTTGAGTGGATATTGGTAATTCACTTAGGATAAAGAAGGAACTATAGTACTCTCGGAATACAAACCAGCATTTATTACTTAAAAATAGAATACAGTCAACTTTTTTGGTGCACAGATCAGATGCACACAATATACAGGCCTGTGTTGTTGAAACCAACCAAGAAAATGGCCGACCGTACACTTCCAGTTTGTGCAGCGTGACGTCGCCTGCCCCTCCGAGGATAGTAACAGTATATGATTTTATGTTTTATCACCAGGAATATTTGTACTGCACGGTACTTATTAATTTATATTGTTCATGCTCTTTTGTAGGACTTAACATTAGTTACACATACTAAAACACTTAAAGTGTTACTAAACCCAGGACCCTGCATTCACTCTGTCTCCCACAGTACACACAACATGGAAGTGCAATTATTTTAGTAAATATGAACTGCTAAATACCTTTTCTCATTAGCAGTTATAGCAGTCTTGTGACTTCAGCAGAGCACTGGTTAAAGCTTGTAGGAGTAGTTGCATTTCAGTGTATTTAATGTGAATTGTAGGTAGCTGTTTGCAAGAAATTTGTTCATTCTATGCATTTGTAAGAGATTTGTGAACAAGAATATTGTAACTTCAGTTTGTGATTGTATTGCAGTTTTACAGAACTATTTACAGAAGAAAATTCAGCTATGGAATGAAACACATTGCAGCTTCTGTCAGTTTTGTTAGCTAGCCGTTGGCTAACCGTTAGTAGGACAGCATAGTGAATGTTCTGAAAGATGCTGCTTTCCCCTTATTCTTCCCCTGTGGGATAAGGAACAATAGCAATGTCTATTGGATGAGGGCCCATTCACTGAGACAACCGAGGACTTTGAAGAACAAATTCATGTTTCATACTAAAAGATGAGGCCACCTTAGGGTAGTTATAGTACTGATGCTGTGGTTTCTTCCTATCTGAATGAAAAACTAAATAGGGTTCCTTACACCTGAGGGCATACAATTCTGGCTGAGGCTATTGCAACCAGAAAGATGCTCTTCAGGGAGAACAGCCAAAAGCTACATGATTCATGGGGTTTTAAAGGTGCCTCGTGACACAGTCTTGCACCACAGATAAATCCTAGTTGTAGAATAGGTTTGTTCTAGGGGTATAATTCTGTTGTGTTGCTTTCAGGAAATGAATGATTAAGGGGGGTTGGTAGCTCAAAGTGTCTTAGTAAATGCTGAAGGAGCACAAACCTGCATTTTAAAGACGCTCAAGCTAAGACCAATGCCCAGGCAGGACTAAAAGGAAGCCAACACCTGCTGAATCTGAGGCTCTGGAGGATAAGCATCAGATCCAACAGTGAACCTAATGAAGCAGTTCCATATCCTACTGTCGATGCGGTTCATGCCCAGTTTTCTAGCTTTTACCTTTGTAGCTTGCGGTCTACATGAGACACAAGAGTCTAACTTGTGAAAACCCCACTGATGTACCAACCAGAAAATACCTCCGGCCTCAGGACCCTTTCATTGTTGTCTATAGTTA